GAGACGAAGAGAGCCAGCGAGGAAAGTGAGAGAGCTAGAAATCCCGGAAAGTACCACCCTTTCCAGGGTTGAAGCCGGAAAAGAAAAGTAAAACTGGCTGCTGACCGCGGAGCCGACCGGGCACCGCACGACTGGAACCACACGCCCTCACCACTGACCAAACCCATACCTCGCCCTAATCATGAGCAATTTTGTAGAATTTTCCCTGTGTCTATGTATTTTTTTGTACATCCGTCATCTTTCGCAACGTATCTTTATCCCATTGGTCTGTGTTAGTATAAAAAGGCGCTTGTATTTTTTCAGTTGTGTGCATTTGCAAACGAATAAAGATTCTTGATGAAAATAACTGAGATCAAGGCTTTTTTCAGCTTAGGCTTGAGGTGGGCTCCTCTCCTTCTCTCTTTCTCTCCTCTCTCTCCTCTCTCTCCTCTCTGTCGCTCTCCAATTTGGTACGCCAGCTTGAATACGGCATTTGCATCCCTCGTCATCGGAAGTTTCCGGCCGTTTTTTTTTTGTTCCACACATTTTCAAATCCAGCTTAGTGCGTCGCGGCTCCAGGTTCAGGAATATTCAACGAGTTATACAAATTTACAGGCGTCCCATCAAGATACGATGCGCTACTGGGCGCTGCTCTACGCTCTCGGCGTTCTCGTCAATTTTTGCATCGAGACAAAAGATGGAAGCGCTTAGGGTTTAGGCTTAGGCTTAGGCTTGAGGCCTTGGCTCTGGCTTGAAAACCCCGTCTTGTAGAGCGCAGCCGAGCTGATCGTCAACGCCACGACGAGAACGGCGTCTGCCCGGACGGGTTCATCGTGTTCGATGTGGAGCACGTTAGGCATGAGTGAGCCCGTTCTTCGAATTATTTAGCCTCTAGTAAAAAAGGAAGAAAATTGGCCTGATCTTAAGAGAGAAAGCCCTCGGCACCTGAACGTAATTTCAGGTTCGTGTATCCGCTTGGCATCGAAAACCCAAAGATGACGTACGGCGAGTTTAGAGAGATGGGCCTCGCTTCGAGTCTGTTTGACGCATATGGGTGTGTGGCCTTTCTCTCTCTCTCTCTCTATTTCTCTCTCTCTCTCTCTCTCTCTCTCTCTAATTTCTCGGTTTTAGGCGGGCAACCTGTGCACATGACCCCGATCGTCTACGAGCACCCAAAAAGGGCAACCGGACGCTGTGCTTCAGTCTTCAAACGGCGGAAACGATGCTAAAGGTGAGAGAGCGAGTGAGTTAGGGAGAGCGAGAGATAGAGAGAAATGGACTCTTTTTCAGCACGACTTCGACCTGCGCTTCTCCTCGTTGCCCGTCCAGCTGAATAGGTCGTTTGGAGTAGACGGTCTATTCGTAGAGCTGCCGTTCGCCGGGGCGCTCACCTTCCGAAATGAGCAGCCGCTCTACGATTCCGTGGTCTTCGATCAGAAAATGACCAATAGAGTGTAGAACAGAGAAAGAAGAGAGAGAGAGAGAGAGAGAGAGAGAGAGAGAGAGAGAGAGAGAGGAAAGCACTCTCTCCAACCGGCAAACTCAGCTCGCTCATGATGAAGATCACGCAACGCTGCCCCTTCCAACTCTTTGGCTACCTGTGCCAACGTAATTGCAAGGATAAGGTAAGTTAAGGGATACCTAGGCCCTCCTAAAATTTTGATCACCTTTTTAATGCGGCGATCGGTCCTGCTCCGTCGCCAATGGCGTCTGCAAGGAGCCGGAGGTCGTGAAGAAGGACAAGGTCAGACAAATCGTCTTTGCTAGCTGGCCTAACTCGGCTACGGTTTACTTTACCCCCCCCCCCCCCACAGCCGGAAGTTTTTGGCTATAACGTTTTTATTTTACAGTATTGTAGGCTCAAATTAACACTCTTAGTATATTTTTCGAAGCTCTATCGAATGGCGTTTCAAAAATCCCGACAAAATAAGCGAAAATACCGAAAACTTTCTTATTCGGCTGTGAGGGGGGGGGGGAGGGAGAAAACTCTTTCCCCTAACTCTCATCTGCTAGGATGATTCAACTCCCATCTGGATGATCGCTCTCTTCGTCGGCATTCCAGTTGTGGGGTGTTGTTGCCTCACGTTTTGCTGTATGGTACTGTGGTCAGTCACTTATTTTTTTTTTTTTGCTTATGAAATTTTTACTTTCGAGGGCAGGCTTCAAATTTTCGATCTTATAGGGAAGCGATTAAAAAGAAGAGGTCCTGCGGAAGGCATCACAGTCAGACGTCGACGGTCGACGATGAAAGCCGAGAGCATCGCTCGAAGAACCACAAGAAGCACAAGAACCATGCGCACGACACGACGACGGACAGTGCGGAGTCGCGCGAATCGTGAGCGATCATGTGCTTGTTTTAGCTTTGCGTCCCTTCGCGCAAACATTAGCACGCGTGACCACCGGCAACGCATGACAATAGAGGAAAAAATTATCTCAACTTTTTCCTTTTTTCAGGCAGAAGCGCAAGAAGAAGCACAAGGGCAAGCACTGAGCGTGACCGTCACCGAGCGCATCTGAATCGACAAAAAAGTTACAACCGGGTTCTGGTTTCTTTGTGACGCGAATAAAGTGGTTTCTTGTGGCTATGTTTTTTCACCACAAGAAAATTGCTCTCTGTCTCTCGCTATCATTCTCGCGCTCTCGCTCTCTCCCACTCTCGCTCATTGAGCCGGCGGCAATTCAACCAAATGGCTTCACCATGCGCCGCCATCCTTTGAAAAAAATTGCGATCGACATTTCCGATATACCATGTAATTCCAAGCCCACCAATAGCTTCAAACACAACCTTCATTATACACTCCACATCCAAAATACAGTTTTGACACAAGTGGCGGGTGGGTAGTGGGCGTGTGTGTGGCAAACAAGGCACAAAATATATGGTGGGGGCACAGAAGAAAGAATTTTTGGTCGACCAAAAAAGAAGAATATATAAAAACGACAATGCATCTGGGCGCGGTATCGCCACAAGGCATGAGGGCAAGGCACAGTTGCTCAAAATACACACACTCAACAACAAGAACAGTTTCTTTAACGCGGGCCGGGTCATGGAATGTGATGAGGGGACGGAATTTTGCAAATTCAAATTAAACTGGATATCGCGGGGTGTTTCGGAATCGTGTACAATATGGGAATGTGTGTGGAGGGTCGATGAGATTGTCAGGGACGAGATGAGGGTTTTGGAAGGTTTTAGAGATTTCGGTGGTGATTTGGGCTTAGAAATTTCAAATTTCCTAAAATTCAGGGATCCAAATATTCCTAGAAGCCTTTGGAATGCATTTATGCGCTAAGGTATCAGAACCATATCTGGAAGCCATGTAATTTGACATTTCTAGCGGCCAGCGGACGATAAGATCTTAGAATTCCAGCTTAAATCTAAAAAAATCCAGTTTCTAGACATCAAGGCCTCCCAAATTTTTCTCAAGGTCTAGAAAGGCTCTTACGAATTAAGGTATAAAACGATACCTTAAAAACTCAAAAATCAAGTACTAAGGCCCTAATTCACCTAAATCACCACCAAAATTACCGTACAACACACTGTGGCAAGCGCTACTCCAGGCAACTACAAGACGAACGGGATACGCGCGCGCGACGACGATCAAATGCTTATTCGGGGGCCGTATTATGACAATTTGGTACTAATATTTAAGGGTGGGGAAGGGCACAATCGATCGATAGCAATAGATTAAAGGGGCGGCCGGAAATTGCCGATATCCCCTGCAGACGACTAAATGCACTAGGGATACACGCAAACGGGCGGATACGTAGGAGGCAAAGATTTGCTGATACTTGATCTAATTCTTGTACGGCGAGTCGGCCCTGGGCTTCCGGTTCCGCTTCATGATCGTGTCCTTCTTGAGGCTCATCGGGCGCTTGCGCTGGTTCTTGCGGTAATACAGGTTGCAGGCGCTGAAACGGGGAGTTTAGAAGATATTTACCGTAAAAGTGGCGGAAAGCGCCTGAAGAAGAAGAAGAAGAAGATAGGCAAGCTAACAGAGATCATCTGCGAAAGGCTTGATGGGCTTCGGAAAAAATCCAAATAGCTGAATTTGAACTTGTCATAAAAAACGAAAATCCAGCAAAATTTAGCTTTTTTGAACCATGAAAGCTAGCAGCGAGCAATTACGGAAAAATCGCTCCTAAAGGGCCTGAACAACTGAATTCCGACATGGAACCTGCTAGATTGCCCCCGAAAGAAACTCGACTAGAGAGGAGGGAGAAATATTTTGTCCGGGACGCTGGCAAGCTAGCAGAGATCATTTGGGAAAATCGCATCTTCTAGAGCCTCCAAAACAATTGAATTCCGAATCCCAACAATCCCACCAGAGTAAATTTGCGCAGTTCAAACGAAAATCCTGAATTCCCAAATAGACTGCTAGCTTGCCCAAGCCCACTCAAGCTGAAACTCACTTGCACTCAATGTCGCCGGTATGATTCCTCCTCCACAGCGTCGTGTCGCGCGTGCCACAGTTGGCGCACACAGAGTTGGAGTGGCAGCTGACGGCCTGAAACATAAAAATAGAATTAATACATTACGACGAGTATCGAGACCGGAAACATTATTAATTACAGTACCTGGATGCGCTTCTTGGTGGGCGGCTTGGCGAGGGGGTCTTGCGGCGGCGGGGACTGCTCGATCTTCAGCGGGGCCGTCAGGATCGCCGAGTTTTGCGGCGCCTGCGTGTAGATGTCCGTCTGGTAGATCGGGGGGTAGAGCTGAAAAAGAATGATGTTTCCTGGGGAAAAATACAACAGATTTTTCTCGATTTCAACCCTCAGATTCCGCTTTTCCATATTCTTGAGAAGGCCATAAAATGCGCATCAATATAACTTTCTCCGTACGATTTTTGTTGCCCGTATCCACAAATAAGACCTTTTTTGACCAAGAAAAACGTTCCAACTTTAAGAGAATTCCAGACAGGTTTTTTCTGATCTCGACCCCCAAATTCCGTTTGCTCCTAAAAATCCCCACAAATATAGCTTGCTCGGCAGTTTTTGTTGCCTTTTTTCTACAAACCCCGATCCGGAGGATTCTAAAAGCTGCCAGCGTGCACATAAAAGGATGGCCCGGCTATGTGGGGGCCACGGCAAACAGAGTGTTTGCCCCCTCGCAACCAAAAGCCGTGATTCAGAATCCGGGTCAACACGGTGAGAAGCGCCGGCAGGTTTGTGTGCGTGTGTCAGATTTGGGGCGGCCATTGAAGACGCGGTTTTTGAAACGGAAAAGCGTAGCGAAAAATGGAGCCAGTTCGCGAAGAGTAACCAGAATACGCAATGCAACAATTTCGTTCGATTTTTGTAAAATCCTAAAATGCATACCTGATCGTAGTAGTGAGTATAGCCGGCCGGCAATGAAGTCGTGTAGTCGCAGGCGTACGGCAGGCTAAAAATATCAAATTGAAAAATTCTTGATCCATTTCCATTTTTTGCGTTCTTAGTGCATAAAAATAAGGGTCGGACAAAGTTAATTTTTACGTAATCGTTACAGTAAATCTCTCCAATTTCACTCACCCGTCATTGTTCGTGGCGAGGGAGGTGGGCGGGGGAAGGATGAACTGGTAGCCGTTGAACGGGTCGGGCGTGGTGAAGGCCGACGCTTGCGTGGCCTCCATCTTGTCGACGTTGGTCAGCTCCGTGGCCGAGGGGACGCCGAGCGAGTCTGGAAAACCCATGGATTAATAAACTATACAAGATTTTGGACTTTCACTCCCCTTTAAAGGGCTGTTGACGGCATGTGTCGATCCCCCCCATCAACAAATTGGCAAGTAGCCAACAGGGGAGAGAGCGCGCATAGGGGAGAGGCGCAGAGACATTTTCTTTTCTGCGCGTAACCGATTCACTATGCCGTCGGCATCCCTTTAAAAACCTCCACGCTTTTCCTCGCCCACTATGTATACTAACCCGAGCACGACGCCTTCGGCAACGCGTTCGACGGCACGTAGAGAATAAAGGCCATTTTTAGTAGCTAGCACCGTAGTTATTATAGTGAATATTACAGGGGTGTTTCTAGGCAATTAGGCTCGTCTTACTTCCCAAAAATCGACACACACAACCCGGGGTATGGCGCGAGACTTGTGCGCGCCCCGCGCTAGCCCGAACAGCTCGGGCAAATTTTTCACGGTCAATCAGGGCAGACAGAGAGAGAGAGAGAGAGAGAGAGAGAGGATTTTCCAACCCTTCTCTACTCAAAAGATGGGATCCCGAGATTGGCCCGGGCACCGTAGTTTGTTGCATCGCGTAGCCGGGGACCGTGGTCTCGGCTGACAACCGGCGCAAAATTGCGGATTATCAATTACCCCCACCCGAGAATTGGATAGGGATCAAATTGGCGGCGGTATTTTCGCGCTGGTGAAATTTAGATGGGCAGCGCGGGGGTTCTAGCCAGAACCCGGGCGGTCATGTTTTTCCGGAAGTGTTTGATAAGGAGGTGTCAAAAGATTCTGCACCCACGTGCGGTAGGCCCGGACGCAGATAAGATTAGATAACAACCTCGTGGAGCAGAATATTGACCGTGGCGAAGGGCTTTTTGCAGGGGGCTTGAGGAGAGGAAGTACGCGTTTTGAAAGTGATACCAGGGAGTCTAGTTTGGATTGAGTCAGGTAAAGCGGATCAGAGAGGCTTTCAATTTTTACTGGCTCAACTAGCATAACTAAGAATCACTGGTAGCTTCCTGAAATGCCAAATACAGCAACGGATTTTGGAGCCGCTTTAGCAACCCAAAGAAGCTTCTAATTTTTTTCGCGCTAAAATAGTATAATCAAAACCGTAGCTATTCCCCAATTTTCTCTGCCACCCACCGTAGGGGTTTCTACTTAATTTTATCTATGGAAATCGGATCTGGGATATTTTCATTTTTTTCAAGCGGGTAGCACGATCCTAAAATGCTTGCAAAGCCCTTAAAATTTCTCTGCCCGATAGTGTAGAGCATTTTTTACACTGGCTCTACCTAAATTTGACCAAAAAGGTTTCCTGAAATCTCGTTTCCCAAAATCTACTACAAGTCTATGTAAACACGTCCGCCCCACTTTTTCAAACTTCCGAAATCCGCATTGATACTGTCCCGGGCCTCCATATTTCCCTAATGTCACCACCGGGGCCAGACGGAAGTGACAGGCTCTCAATTTCAATTTTTCACCATTTCCTCCCCCTCTCTTCGAGTTAGCAGATATCCCCCCTCCTCGAGCTCAAAAAACACACGTCTGCTTTTTCGACCTCAGCCCAGGGAACGCCCAGACCATTCGAGAGAGGGAAGAAACGAAGAGAAGCCGAGCACCCGGTGGTGGTGTGAAAGTTGCCATCATCGCGCTGCGCAATCTCGATGGATGGGCCCGATATTTCGGCTTTTTTTGGGGGTGCCCAGATTGGGATCTTTGTGAACGGGGGGGATAGTTTTGCGAGCGAGAGGGGCCCGAGCTTCCCAAGGTTGCCACCACCCAGCCGAACACGTAGACAAGCATGCAGAGTGGGGTGGCAGCAAAAGGAAAACAGGGGATCCCTCTCGCGTTTTTGACGGATTAGCGGCCGGGAAGTGAATTTTTGGCTTGATGGGCGAGGTCGGCCGCTATTTACCCTAGAGGAAGGGGGAGGGTGGCTAGACAGAGAGGGAAATTTGAAAACTTGCAAGGTCTACGCGAAATTTTGAAAACTTGAGACTACGACAACTTTTTTGAAATTTGCAAGTTCTATGCGGAATTTCAAAACTTTACAGAAATGGACGAGGCTATCTCAGTTTCCGGGAAAAGCCGAGATTTCCTGATTTTCAAAAACGATTAGAAAAGAAAGATCGCCTAAACGTTCTCCAGTTTTGATAAAAAATACGGAAAACATAGCTTTTCCAATAAAATTTTCAAATTTTAATTTTCTGAGCGCCGCAAATGGTGATCCACTCGAAATATAGCTAGTTTCTGATACACGATAGTTGGTATTACAATACGCGCGAGACTACCCCTAGACAAAGTTCCAAATTAACAATGTATAAGCTCTACGCAAAATTTAGTATAAGAGGACGAGGCCAACTCAAAAAGAAAAGGTAAAATTTTCTATTTTTCCAAAGAGAGTAGGTCTTAAAAAGAACATCAAAACCAACCGTAGCAGTAGAGACCGGCCGGCGCTTTCATCTCGCTGAGCTTCACCTCCTTGTTCATCAGGTTCCGAATCTCGGGCAGCGTGCGCGGGTCGTCGGGCTGGCGAACGTCGAATTGGGCGTAGTGGTTGGAACCTAAAACCGGACATTAGTAATGACAAAATCAATTTTGTAGAGAAAATCCGATAAGACTAAATTTTCAGGCTAAAAAGCATAAAGGCGAAACAAAAAAGATTGAAAGTTGAAAACCAACCAGTTGGACTCGCGTCGCCGACAAAGTGCTCTTGCTGAGGCGGTTGCTGGTGTTGAGGCTGGAAGTAGTAGGGCTGCGGTTGGAAGAACGTGGGCTCTTGGTTGAAGCCTGGAAATGGTGTGAAGTTAGGGGGACTTTAGAGCGGAGAAAGAGATTCCGGATCTGCAGCACGCGCCACAGATATCTGGGTCAATAAGGAGGGTCAGGGCTGGGATTTGCATTTGAGGAATAATAAACAAAAGCTATTTTATGCGGCATTCAAAAATTGAAAGCCTAGCTGATAATTTTACGCTTCAGTGAACCAAAGTAGTGGTGTTCACGAAAAATGTCATGACGAGCTGAAAACTATGAATAGCAGGAAAATCCAAATATGACTACCGCAAGCAGATTTAGGAAAATTGGTCTTGACAAGCGCAAAACATCGTAGGAACCTTCACTTTAGAAGGAAAAACGCATCGATACCAAACCACAACCTAGTGCCAAAGTCCGCTTTCCAAAAAAAAGGAAAAAATTAATCAGCATTGTCTAGAAAAAACTCCTTTCGGAAAAATTTCTATACCGTTCGAGATGGCTCGGAGAGACAGAAGGGAGAAGAAGAAAAACAGAGTTGAAGCGACCGGAAATAAGGAAAAGCCAGAATATGCAACCGGAAACGGTTTTCCGAAGAAGGTTAGCTAGCTAAGCCGTGTTTTTCGGTCACATTACAATAAAATCGTACGGTCCAACGAGAAGAGACAAAGTTAAAGATACCGAAAATAACGCAACCCCAGAAGCAGCAACGAGGAATCGCTTTCCAAAGAAAGACTAGTGATCCTAAAACCCAAGTACGGTTTTTTAGATACCATTACTTCAAAAATCGTACAGTCCACCCTCCGCGCGCCCACCCTGAACGGGATTGGTGGTTAGCCCAATAGCGGTTCCCCGGAGGGGGTACGGCCGCAGGGGGAAAAGATTGAGATCTCCTCCTCACCCACCCCGACCCACACACCATATTCCGCGAGAGTCCTCCCCCTTCCCTTCACCGCGACTGAGCACCAATTTATCACGCTCCGACAGTCCACCCGACTGCCCCAAAACAGCGCCCAAAGGTGCGTGGATGGGGGGATCACCGCCCGAGGCGCTCGCTAGCTACCCGACCGACCCCCGGGGCATCGCGCATAAATTTCCGCACCGCAAATAGGGGACGCAATCTAGACTTATTGGGGGAGATTGAGGTTTGGATAAGGTAACTAAATGGAAGTTGGGTTTAATGTAGGTTTTTGTCGATCTTGATAGCTATGGTTGCATGATCAAAACTAAATTTACGGCTGCTGGGCTATAAAATCGTAAGCGAATTCAGCTTGCTAAAAACGAATAAAGCTAAAAATGACTATAAAAGTCGCGAACGCGAAAGGGGAAAACTAAAGCTAAGAAATACTACCACTATTTCTATAAAAACTGAGTGTTTTACCTCTGAAAAATACGATTAAAAACTAACAATGTCTAAAAAATCGAAGAACTTCTATTAGGGACCTCAAAAACACAGAAAAGAATTACTGCAGCCATTCCTCGGCACACGAAACGTTATAGGACTGAAAAAAATACTAAGAGCGCGCGATGATGCTTTTTTTATCCTTTGTCTTTTCAAAAAAGACTAGTGAGATAAAGGAAGATTAGCCAATAACCTAAAGCCAATGCGCCAAATCAGAAAAGTAAATGCTTCGAAAAGTTTCTAAACCACTTGAATGCGCAAAAAAACTAGCCCCAGAATTTCAAAAAAAAGATAAAGAAGTAAATAGCTTGCTAAAGTCAGTAAACCTAACAAAAAAGCAAATTAATACCGTGCGGGTACTCCTCTTCGCTATACTCGAGGCACTCTTGGATATCTTGCACGTTTGATTCTTCGAGGAAATAGGCCGGGCGCTCGGTCTGGCTTGACGAAGCGGGGCTGGCCGTCTCCGCGCGATCGGCCCGGGTTGAAGACGGGCTGGCAGTGTCCGGGTGGTCCGACATCGGGCTTGTCGCAGGAAGTAGTTGTCCTTTTGGGTCGTCGAGTGATAAGTGAGTGATTGGGTACTGCAGCACCCGGGTCAGAAGGGGCCGCCACGCAGCCGCCGCGCGTCTGCGGGCGGGGTCGGGGCACTATTGGGAGGCAGGAAAGTGACGGGCGGGTTTTTAGCCCTCAGGCAGGTTGATTCCCGGGGCGCGCAATAGCAGTGACAGCCTTTTAGGTCGCGTAATGCAACTGATTACTCGATGTTTTGTTGAAACAAAAACTATTATAAGTGTAAGAAACTATATTGCTTTAATCGCAAGTTTATTTTAACGGCAAGAATAGTATAATAACGTGCACGACGGCTCATTGTATATATGATCAGGGCAGCGCTTTACAACGGGGCGATAAAACCTTTGCTTGCTTGTACGTATAAAACCAAATATCTTAGAAAAAGCAAGACGCATCCGCAAGGGAGACATTATCAAATATATTTTGTCGAGCCTTCTAGCTTCTCGGCTTGACAGCACGGGTGCAATCAACGGAAAAAATTTTGGGCCAAAATCATGACTATGTATGCTTCGCGCAAAATTTTACCGATACCTTTCCGGACTCGACGATCACTCTGAATAAAGTATTTCCTATTTGTAAAAGTATGCTTTGTTGTAACCGGAACCAAGGCAGGCCTGTTGTTCAGAATTCTCCTGCTGCCGGACAGCGTAAGATCAGCGCTAAAACTATGCTTACGGGAAGTTCGCCTTGGAAAGAAAGAAGCGACTTAGTTTTGGATAGTTTTGGTCTATTTGTTGAAAACCTCCTAGTTTCTCAGCCCAACCTTGTTCGATTCATAATTGCGCTTCTTAAACCTATGTGAACTTAGGAAACCCTACTTTTCATCGTGTATCGCTCGGAAGTGTGGCCTGAAAGCTTCTTGAGTGGATACCCTAAAGCCATGAGCCAGAACTGATTTTAGAAGTCCCCTGTTAATCCTGATTCACCCTTGTGTGATGCGTCTTGCTGTTTCCAAAATATTTGGTTTTATACGTACAAGCAAGCAAAGATTTAGCGCCCCGTTGTAAAGCGTCGACCCGAGCAATAAGCCGTTGTGCATGTGATTATACTATTCTTGTAGCTGTACCTGTAAAATAAAATAAACTTGCGATCAAAGCAATATAGTTTCTTACACTTATAATAGTTTTTGTTTCAACAAAACATCGAGTAATCAGTTGCATTACGCGACCTAAAAGGCTGTCACTGCTATTGCGCGCCCCGGGAATCAACCTGCCTGAGGGCTAAAAACCCGCCCGTAGGAAAGTGTTGATTTCCGGGTCAAATTCTTTGAATTTCGAAGAGCGCAGATGTACATGAGCTTTTCGGCGGATTCGGGCGACAAATTGGCAGATGTACGTGCACCTTGAGTTGAAGCAAGACTTTATTTGCGTTTGAAAGTCTATTTCAAAAGTTTGAAATTTGGAAAATCGCCAAGAAGCTTTTGTAGATGTTGAAGACTCTTCGTTGTCACGATACGACTTTGGTTTGAAGTAAATCGACGAAGGTTTAAAAGATTCATTTGGAAAGTTGCCAATAAATCCATTATATAGAGCGGTACTATATTTTAATCAAGGAATCCAGTTCGTTCATTCACTAGATTGAAAGACAGTTGAATATGAAGTTCTAATAGACTTTTTAGTAAAGAAATAACTAGATGTCAACCCTAAAAGCTATCTAAAAGCGTCAAAAATTTGAAAAGGTTGAACCTTCGGTAAAAGATCGGGCATTTTTGGTCGAAAAATCGTCATTTTTGTTATTTTTTAATAAAAAATGCCTAAGGTTTACACTTTTCGGAATAGCAAAAAACGTTTAGAAACACTTTCACTATTTATATTTAAAAAAATTGGATCTTAAGAAAAAGTCGGTCCCCTCCTCCCGGATAATGCAAAAGAAACCAAAACTTGTTAAAAATACAGAACAATAGGGGAACTTGGGGGCCCTTAATAGCGATTGGCAGGCCTATGTTTCGACTGGGGATACTAATAACGTTAAAAATATTTTGAAAAGTCGAATTTTTGGTATAAAAATCGAGCATTTAATAAAAAATGTAAAGTTTACACTTTTAGGAATAGAAAAATAAAGATAATGCGAAAAACCAAATCTTGTTAAAATACAGAACAATAAGCTAACTTGGGGGCCCTAAAGCCGCGATTCGAATGGACCCAGTACTCCTCGGCAGGGCTACTGTAGCCAAGGCCACCCCAAGGTATCCCAGTATGCAAATTCGCACGCTCCCCGCCCTTCTGCCTCGTAGTCACCCCCAAAAAACGGTAGGGCCAAGCCCGGAGTGTTTACCGGTTGATTCAACCCAGCCTCATTATAAATTCAGCTTGCCAACCCGTGCAGCGACAATAGCCTCAAAATATTCTCACGGTTTCCGCTCAAAAATGGTACAAGGTGGCTGCTGCCGGGCCGGAAAATGGATCGGGAAAAGGGCAAGGTCACAGGCCATCGGCTCGAAAAGGGCATTTGGGGGAAAAATGGGGGGAAGGTGGACACAGGCCATTCCCGGAAATGCCAATAGAGACTCGAGGGTTTTTGAACGGCTCGAGCAGGCTTTTGAAGGAGGTGATAGCGTTTAGAACTTGAATAAAAGCATATCGTGAATAAATAATGAGTTCGCGCTCATAGAAAAAACCAGCAGGAGCTTGAAAGTCGAAGCCACAGAGCCGATTTTCAGCGTTGGGAATTTTTTGAAGATTAAACTTTCGCCGAAGCGCGTGCAGAAAAGCCAAATTAATTCGATGTCTGGCTCGAAAAATCAGCTCGTGCTCAAAAAACTATAGCTCGAAAGTATTGAATTTGCAAATTTTACAAAAACGGCCGCAGCTACAGTTGGAAAAGCCGAGAGCCGCGTCGTGGAGTCCAAAAATTTGGGCACTAAAGATGATTCAGAATCGTATTTTAGTGGATGACCATACCTGGTGAAGTGCTCGGAGTGTGATGGCTATAGAGTGAGAGAGAGAGCGGAAGAGAGAGAAGGAGAGAGAGAAAACGAGAGATCTAGAGTGAGAGAGAGAGAGAGCTAGACTCTAACGGCATAAAACGTAGAAGAAGGAATGCCTGGTCGAAGAGGTGGAGGTCTGGGTGATCTAAAACAAACCGAGAAGACGTGTGAGTCAGATCTTTGGAGGGAGGAGGTGGAGTGGAGGTGGCCCAAGCCTTTTACGGGTTGCCACAGCCATCTTGGGGTCTGTGTTTGCAGAAGGATTCACCCCTGGCATACACACAGTAAGGGGAGGAGGAGGAGAATGGGGGCATCGGAGAGGTTGAATTGTATTTAAAAAAGCCGAAAAGGGATACTAGCAGAAGTTTTGCGGATTTGGACTAGCAGAGATTCTTAGGGCAATAAAATGGCCTGCATTTTAAAAACGGGCTTAGCGCTTGGGTTTTGAAAAGCAGCAACGATATTGTAGTTAGATTGTCATACTTGCAAGATCTTCTAATTGGAAGAGACAGAGAGAGAGAGAGAGAGAGAGAGAGAGAGAGAGAGAGCCATCCGAAAGCTTTGAAGCAATATTTTATTTTAGTGGAATTCAGAGAGACATGCAGCAGAAATTCCAGCGGAATCTCTAGAGAAACGTAAATTTTCTAGGTACGATCTAAAATGATAGGGCAGGCTAGCAGTGATCTTTTAAGAAACCTGTGAAAGCATCTGTCAATGTAGACTTTCTAGGTGATAGTAGCTTTCCAGGGAGTAGCTAGCAGAGATCTTTGAAAATCGGAAAGTCTATAATTAGAAAAGTGGGTCATCTAGCAGAAACCATTTGGGAATCGATTGATGCACTAAACTAATCGATAAACAATAAATCCTATGCCAAAAGGTGTATTTGGTGTATACGGATCCCCCGAAGACGCGTCGTCGTCCTCGTCTTCCCAGGTGTTTGTGTAATAATTCGCGAGGGGCAAATGGCAGATCGCCACCGTGGAAAGAGGCGGACGAGGAAGGATTTGAAAAATATTAAGAAGGACCATGATGAGGTGATGGATTTGTTTAGGGCTGGGGAAACGGGAAAAATTTCCGAAAGTTGTACTTGCGGGGGGGAGGTAGATCGATAACTGGTATATTGGATCGAGCAAACTTGCTGAAATCCGGGGACCGTATTCATCGCAGCAAAAATTTGATATTGAACGTTAGGAAAAGCCTAGGGCAGTGATTTTCATACCTAATCAATGCCCTTAAAAGATTAAAAATGGATCTATAAAATCGAGAAAAACAGGCGGAAATTGTTAGAAAAAATGGGAAAAGAGGAAAATTATGTCTAATTGTAAGTTCGCTGATGCCGCCGCAAGTCAAAAAAACCTTAAAACTCAATCATTATAAAAATTGGCAGAGCGAATGCATAAAGTCATGCAAAATAGTCTGGAATACTGTAGGACGCGTCATAACAATCGTAAATCTACAGTAATCGTCACAAAGTACCGTTTTAGGGAAAAAGTCGGACACCAAATGCAGGCAGAGGGCAAAACAAAAAACAACTGCAGCAACTCAAAAAAACAGACACTAGAAAAAGATATGCATAATTAAAAAAAGGGGCAGGAAAGAAAAAATATGTTGTAAAAAAGTCTAGGCTACAGTAAGACACCTCAAAAAGGTTACAGTACAAAAACGACTCCAGGGCAAAAGTCAGACACCAAGTCCACTCACACTCAAAAACGAGGCGCGAACACGCTCGTCTACGAAAAATTCCTTTCACGCCTGGCGTGGAGAAATTTGCTGCCACACTCTCCCACATACGAGCCACTGTCTCCGAACCCGCAAAAAAAGCTACCCCACTTCTCCCCCCACGGTCATAACTCATCAAGGCACCGAGATCAACACAGCGCACACCCAGGCTCCATTTCTTTCCCCTTTTTGGGCGCTTCGCGACAAGCGACGCGCGTATATACTCGCCAACCCCCAAAACGCGAATTTCACGGTAAAGGGGGGGATCACAAAAAGACAAAAAAGACAGGGGTGAATTTAGGG